TCCTCTGGGAGTGAGATCCCTTCTTGTGTGGACTACCTTGTCTCTACGAGTCACCATTATGCTAATTTCTGTTCTGTCAACCAGGGAGCTGGTGTTTGCTTCCTCTGGGTGTCTATACAGGAGCTGGTGTGTTGGCTCTCCTCTGGTGTCCCTACCAATCCCTTCTGTTGCTGTGCTCATGAATTGTTCTATATGCCCACTTATCTTCTTTAGCCGCAATGATACCTGACATGAGCTTCATTGTTGTGGGCAGATGACAATGTTGTTTTGGCCGGTATTAGTTGGAGGGGAACTGCATGATCTGGACCGTCTCGCCCTTCGGTTAGCCATTCTGGGTGAGACCCATCTCTCAGGCAAGGTCCATTTGCTGCTGCGAGGCGTTCATGGCGGATGTGAGTGTCCTTTAGCCAGTAGGCTGGACCTTATCAGGGCCATGGGTGCTGTTCCAGTTTTTCATTTACTGAGGGGACTCTTTCCCGGATGTCTGACTCTTTGAGGGTAACTGTAGTTCTGTTCTGGGAGGTGGTGTGCTCCTCTCATCAGGGGACACCAGCCATTGTGCACTGCTGTTAGGTGGCTGCATCCTTCTCCATTTGTTCTTCCAGAACTGTTACAGTTTCCTAGCCTCGGTGGGTCTTGCTCCCCTGTTGCTACATTGTTGTTACCCTTTTGGTACCCTGTCCACTGTGCGTACAACTTCGCAGGTTGTGGTGCGAAAAGCTCTGTTTCACCCTTCTGGCTTCAATCTCTTTAGTGTTCCTCTGTAGGCGGATGGCCACAGGGCTTGGTAGCATGTGTTTTTGGCTGTTTCGTGTGACTTAGGTATGGTGATCTGGCTGTTAATTTCTGGGGGTACTGTCTTTTCATTGCACCTCTCTGGGCCTCTGTTTATTGAGTCACTTCTCTCCGAGCCACCTTGATCTCAGCTCCAACGTTCTTTTTACTTATGGGTGGGTATTGTCCATGGCTACCATGGTTGCTCTTATAGCCAAGCATCTCTACGGATCACTGCTGCTGAAGGTGTATATCAGTCATTGGTTTCGTGATTGTGTGGTGGTTAGGTATTGCCCTCACTGCTGCATTCAAGTTTTTCTATGAGTCCTTAGGTGGTACTTCACAAAACCGCTTGTAACACGGTGTCTCTTGACCTGTTGCCCATTTTTAGCCATGATTTTAGCTTTCAGGTCAGTCGCTGCCATCGTTCAGCGTTATTGGTTCCATGGGGCTTTGTGGCCCAATATCTGGTTGGGGAGTGCTGTTGGGGGGACCTCCCCTCTGACCTCAGTACTGTGGCACCTTTTGGCATCATACATGTGTTGTACCTCCTCGATATCAAGCTGTGATAGCAGTTGCCGTTTGTGGATGTTGGGGCATTGTGTACGGTTGTTTCGGGGTCAACAGTGGTGGACTGTGGGTTTCGAAGTAAAACCATTCAGCCCAACATTCTCTGCATGTAACCTCTTGGCCAGGGTTACTCGAGTGTTAGCAATTCCAACAGAGCCCTGTTATCAGATTCTTCGACACACTTTCACCTTTTCTGTAGCCACCTGTCTTTAAGGGGCTCTGGTCCCCCAGCACCTGACTTGTTTGGCCGGGATTGTTGTCGGCCTTCCTGAGCCGGCAACATATTTACGCACTGTTGTCGGTTCTATATCATTTTAAATTGTATATTTCAAATCTGCTGTGAACAGAACTGTGAAGAGAATGCAAAAGGGTGTAAGGACAGAGGAAAGGCAGGTTAATATATATAGCACGAATTCATACACAGGCAAATCAAGTGCTAGAACAAGGCACAATAAACATCGAAAGATTGAATCCCCCAGTTTTCACAGCTAAACTGAACTGTTCTTACCTGGATTTGAACATTGTCAGACTTGAAGCCTGTCTTCAATTTTCAGGAAGACTCTTCCGATTTTAGCTGCATTAAATCTTAAATGCTGCCTCCCCATGTTTTGTCCTGACTCTGGGACTAGCAAGGAGTCCAGTCCCTGTGCTCCTCAGAGTCCAGCAGGATAGTCCAGTCCTTGGGCTCATCAGAGGTCCCAGCAGGAGGCCAGTCCCTGGCTCCTCAGAGTTCCCAGCAGGAGTTCCAGTCCCTGTGCTCATAAGATGTACCCCAGCAGGGTGGCCAGTCCCTGTGCTCCTCAGGAAGTCCCAGAAGGTTGTCAGTCCTGTGCTCCTCTTTAGTCCCAGGCACTGAGGCCAGTCCCTGTGTTCTCGGAGTTCCAGCAGGAGGTCCAGTCCCGTGCTCCTCAGAGTCCCAGCTCGAGGCCAGTCCCTGTGCTCCTGAGAGTCCCAGCAGGAGGCAGTCCTTGTGCTCCTCAGAGCAGGAGGCAGTCCCTGTTGCTCCTCATGAGTCCCAGATGCGAGGCCAGTCCCTGTGCTCCTCAGAGTCACAGCAGTGTCATGTCCCTGTGCTCTCAGTAGTCCCAGCACGAGGCAGTCCCTGTGTCCTCAGAGTCCAGCAGGAGTGGCCAGTCCTTGTCGTACTCAGGCAGGAGGGCCAGTCCCTGTGCTCCTCAGAGTCCGATTTAAGAACATACAGTGGGGCCAAAAAGTCAGCACCAATTGATGAAGTTCTCCCAATTAAAATAAGACAGAGGTCTGTAAGTCTCATCATAGGTTCACTTCAAAATGAGAGGACAGAATGGGATCTCAATTATTAATATTGCTATTACATCATCGTTATATCTATTATTATTAATAGTATTAGATTCATTTTATTTTAATTTTTATGTTTAAATGATATTATTTTTTAATATTGTTATGTTTGCTCGTGCATCTGGACTTTTTCTCTGTAAGTAGTAGTAATATTTAGTAATTGATTAGGTAATCTTATTTTTATAGGTCCTCTTTACAGACCAAGGTCACACAAGAGCCCTTACTTAAAAACAGCATAATATAGCGCATGTTTTTAGCGGTAGGAGAAACCGGATCACCTGGAGGAAACCCACGAGAACTTGGGGAAGAACCAAGAACATGGAAGCGCCACACCGGGATTCGAACCCAGGAACTTCCTGCTGAGAAGTAAGAGTGCTATCCACTCAGCCTACTTGTCGTTTGATATTTCGTATTAGTGTCAAATATCAAACACTGAAATAATTTTTATAGGTGTAACTAACAGGTATTTATCATTTATCTACCTATTCAAGGTCGTTACAGCATGTTCAAAAAATATTACGGTATAAAGTTGACGCTGCCTGGCTTTCTGGGTAATGAGTCTTTTGGCACTATTGTAGACCGCGCGCTTCTGGAATAGAACACCATTTCCCGTCATCCTCAGCCCGGATGGTGCACACGCGGTGGCTCATGCAGGAACAGCTCGCCCCTGATGTGGTGTTTCAGTAACACCGCGGAGCCCTTCACATGGCCCTCAGGATCCTCACCCGAGACCTCGTCCATATATTGATGTTAATGATTGCACGTAAGTTCCATGACATCTGTATTATTGAATGCTAATTACCAAGTCAAGCTACATTACCCGCTCGGATCTCTTGCACTGATAGCATGTAGCCTGAATGCTAACAAGCTAATGTCAGCCATGAATTACTCAAGTTGGCCGAAGTTCAGAGTTTGCCCTTAAGTAGGAGTCTAACTCGGTTGTGGAGACAAATACTGCCTTACAAGAGAAAAGCTGCTTATTGGTGCCTCCTACTAACAATCAGTGAAGTAGATACAGCGTCCTCCACAATAAACAGTCCAATGTCAGTCTCAAAATAGTCCCGTCATGTCAGCATCCTCCGTCATCCGGGAGCAGTGGACTCATGTGAATAATGAGTTTTCTGTAGAGGGCTTGAATTTGTTGTGGTAATAGTCGAACACTTGTTGCAGAGTTTTAGTAGACCTTTTTTTGTAATCATGATGTTATACTATGAGGATTTTCCCAAATTTTAGGAAAGAACGCGTCCTCTACAAAAAAAAAAAAAAAAAAACCTTTTTTGAACGAAACTCTCTGGTCTTATTTGGTCGTTGCACGTTATCACCAGAATGATTGACAAATTGGAAGGACCAGTAGTCTTTTTGTGATCCACCCGGAAAGTAGAAAACTATTCCAAAAAACTACCCAAGATAGTTACGTCAACGTTATGAAATCTTTGTGAAATGTGATTTAAGTCTCAATCGGGGCAAAAACGACTTGGACTTAATTCAAGAATCCTGATAATGTCTTGTTTCAACTGATAAACAAGGGTTTTCTGAAAATAAAACATTAGGGAGGTATCAGCTCATCAACTTTATATATTTGTGATTTACTACCAAATCAATTAATACGAATTGAAAGCATCAAACAAAACAGAATAAGGCTGCAATAAGCAGTTATTTTGATGAATCATTGAACTTATTACTAAATTAGTTGACAACTATTTACCTAATCAACCTACCTACCCAACTCACTTGTTACAGCTCTAAATAAGAATGATTGCAATATTTGTCTAAATAATCATTAGTGAGAATTTTTGTTATTATCATTGCATATTTAGACTGCTGTACTTTGACACAATTTAAGTTTTCTTTGTTTTGCTTCCATAGTTGATGCAGTAGAAGAACAGTAACAAAAGGTAAGTTCATGAACTTTAGCTCGTCATAAAATAAAGGTGTTGGTCTCAGTCAGTATCATGTTATTGTTGCTGTTCATAGTCTTCTTTCGGGTATTCAACATTACAGTACATTTTCTTTTTCAATGTGGTCACCTGTAACCCTCACTGTGGAAAGTCCCACATGCATATGGCACATATTCAAAATATTTGTTCTGTTTTATACTAGTAGTTTAGTTTAGTAAAAAAGCAAATTCTGTAATTGTCAGACTGTCTGCACACCTGAATTTAAGTTGCATCGGCAATTTTTTTTTTTTTTTTTTAAGAAGAAAGTAAATTTTGTACATAGATGGATAATTTTCATGTTGCAAACACTGCAGTTTGACACTGTCTGTAGAGTTACCATTATTAACCTAAAGTAAATGTTCTTGTTTTTAGTCTGTGTAAAATCACAGCACACAGGAGACGATGCTTCAACGCTTCCTGTCGGTCCAGAGCCTGCGCAGGGCTGTGGGGATGCGGTCAGGGCTCCGGGCAGCCTCGCTCCCCCAGTGTCCTGCCGTCCTTTGCTGCTGTCTGCCTCGTCCGCCTCCAAACCAGCGCTGGATCCTCACCTCAGCTTCCTGCAGAGCTACTCTTCCACCAAAACCTCCTGAAGACCTGCCTGATGCTGCTGCTGCTTCTGGCTCAGATCAGTTTGCAGATATAGACCCTCTTCAGGACAACTCTATGGGATTATTTCAGAGATTTAAGAAGACATTTAAACAATATGGGAAAGTTATGATTCCTGTTCATCTCGTCACGTCGTCTGCCTGGTTTGGAACTTTCTATTATGCTGCTATGAAGTGAGTATTATGTTGCTTTTAACACAAATATACTGGGGGTTTGATATTATATTTTGACTTTCAGGGGAATCAATGTTGTGCCATTCTTGGAGTTGATTGGGCTTCCAGAGTCTCTTGTCAGCCTTTTGAGAGACTCTACAAGTGGCTATGCTTTAACTGCATACGCCATGTACAAGGTAAGCATTGTTCAGAACACTGAATATTAGGTTGTTTTCAATTTGTTTGTTGACCAAAATAATAAAAGCTTCACTATTCATATTTTATAATTGGATCCTGCATCATGAATTGAACTGAATTGTGAGATTTATGAATGGTTACACCCCTAGTCAATGTTTTGTTAAAGCTATTTCGATATTACATTGACAAAAACAATTACATGATATGCTGACTGAACTATAATGTACTGACTTTGTTTTAGCCTTAAAGCAAAGCTTATCAACGTCCGCCTGATTTTCCTTTTTACATTCTTGATAGTTGGGGCAATAAAAAGTAAACAATTAAATGGCTAGTTAAACTCTTTCCTTGTCTTGGTAGATTGCCACACCTGCTCGGTACACAGTGACTCTCGGTGGGACGTCCCTCTTGGTGCAGTACCTCAGAAAACATGGCTACTTATCGACGCCTCCCCCAGTCAAGGAGTACATTCAGGACCGAATGGAGGAGACCAAGGAGCGGATCACAGAGAAGATGGAGGAGACAAAAGAGCGATTATCTGAGAAGATGGAGGAAACCAAAGAACGCTTTTCTGAAAAGATGGAGGAGACTAAGGACAAGCTCTCTGAGAGGATCCAGGAAACAAAAGGCAGAGTTTCTTTTCGAAAGAAGAATGACTAATGAGAATGAGTTCAGTACATTACAGCTGCATGGCAATAAAGTTGTATTGTTAAAAAGTATCCCCTCAGTAGTTCAATCTTTAAACTTAAAATGTTAAATTTGCAAACAAAATGTTTTACATTCTTTGTGACTATATACATGAAATCACTTAATCATTAATGCTCAAACCATATGTAAAAATGTTGAGGGGCCGAGGTGATTTGTCAGACGATGCTGGTTATGGAACAGATCTCTAATAACTCCACCTATCTACATAAACAAAAACTGGCAGAAATTTAAAAAAATAGATTATTTCTGATGGTATTGGGGAAAGGCCATCAGAAAGTGAGTCAATTGGCCCAAATTGTATGTAATTTCCATCATATTAAGAGGAGCCATTTTATTTAACAATTGGTTGTTTCCAATTTCTTTCACTCTAAAGTGAAATGGTTCATTCAAACTACAAAATTAAATGCTTTTGAACAATATTCTTTTTACTGACATGCACTGTACTGAGGAGATGTGATTAGAAAACAAAGGAGTGTAATGGAGAGACTATGCACTAACCTGTCCTGAATTTTCACTGCTCAAGTCATCTACCCATGTGTCCAACCCGCTTAGACTGTTTTTGTGCACTAGGTAAATGTGGGACTGGTCTGGTGACGATTTAAATGATCCTCTGCACAGAGCAGTGTGACTGGACTGCACATAGGCCTGTCACAATGATTGCTATTGTCGTCCAGTCGGTAAATACACAAAGTGTTGAGACCCGATACATTAGCGAACATTTGCTCTCAGGGAGCCGCTTGCTTCAAGGCCACTTTGTTTTCCCTGAGCAGCTCTTGACTTCTAAATAAAAGTTGAAATCTACAACCCACACTGAAACACGTGACGGGCCGATTCTACAGAGGTTTATTTCTCCTTCATTATTCTCACAAACAGGGTGCACAGCTGACTCGCCACCTCTGATGAAATCATTATAAACTTATACCTACGTGTATAACATTAGGCCTAATGTCATTTTTCTTTTTATCCTCAAGAAGCGATACAGAAATTGTTAAACAGTTTGAGAGGAATAATCAGAATCATTGGGATTTATTATGAATTCCCATCTCTAGCCCTTGTGATTCAAAGTAGACTCTTAGAATCTTAAATTGGGGTCTAAACGGGTGTAAACGACCTAGGGCTGGTCAAATTATTTAAAAAATCCTCAAAAATCAGCTCTTCAGAAATCGGGTGTTTTAATCACGGCGGGTCATTTTGTCCCAAGGACAGCACGTAGTGATTCATGGGAGGTTCCAAGTTTTACTACAGTAATTTGTGTTTTCACTGAAACATGTTTATTATTGCTACATGTGTATTAGACTAAAAACACTGCTCAATATAGTTTACAACATTTTATCAGCAGAATAAAAAAGTGACAGGCCTATGCAAAGATCATACAATATGTGTCTCTAGAATAAAACATGAAGTTGAAAGTTTTGTGTGTGCAAAGTCTATCGAGGCCTTTGTGAAGGCTGGGGTTCACCATGTGTCTTTTATAATGTGTTAATGGAAATTTTGATTTTTCCACAATATTTTTATCTGATAACCAAAGCTAATATATAATGTTGGGGTCTCTGATTTCAAGAATGACACATGAGTTCACTTTGGAAAATAAATGGAACAATCAATAGATGAATGCTAATAAAGTTGCATAATGGGAGACCCAATCTTCATTTCACAAAGATGCACAGGAATTAAATAAGTGGCTAAATATGGCAGACATTTCATATTAAGGTCATTATGGTTTTGTAACAAAGTGCTTTACTGTAGTTGCTCATATACATACATTACACTTTATACTCTGGAACTAATCAAGTTTTATTTACTTATGACCAGATTATTACACATTGCTACAACCTTTCCTTCACTTATCTATATTTTCCTTCAAAATCTATGACCATTTTGCTTATAAGGTAGGCTTTATTTGTTTAAAATGTGTTAATGTGAATGCGGCAGTGAGCATTAATGAACAGTACCAACTTGCAGCCTGTCGTCACTCATTCATTCTGAACTATTCTGCATTTCTTTAGTGGTGGGGTAAACTGGACACGAGGAGAACATGCAAATTCCACTCAGAAAGGCCTGTTTAGCCCAGGTATCAAACCAGAACCTCCAAACTGAGCAACTCAAACTAGCCACCATCGTGTTGCCCCATCTAGTGGTTTAAAATGAAATTACACGAGTTGACCGTCACTGCTGCTGAGATAATTGTGTGGATTACGTGTAAACAAGGGTGGAATGAGACTTTCTGGTGTGTTATCTATTGCTTTAAGCAGCAATGACAACTGTCTGTTTTTGTGTGTGTGACAAGTGAGCTGTCAATCACAGCTCAGACCACGCCCAACTCCCCTTGGTCCTCAGGGCAACGCCCTTTTAAGACAACATTGTATGTGGGCGGAGTAAGGCTGGGCACAGGTGTTTAGTCGCTCTTTAATTTTACTATTTACAAGAATCACAAACCCGAGTGGGAGACCGCTTTTCTTGGCCATATAAGAAGAAATATGACAGGTACTGAGACAAGTAAATTATTAATTCTGATATACTTATTCGTTCAGGAAAAGAGCTCTATGTTACACCTGTTTTTATGTTTTATTATTTCTTATTATAGTCTGATGTTTTATAACCAATGCATCCCATATTCTTTTCGAAAGCCCCTGTAAATTCAGATTTGTGTCTGGGACAATCCACTCTGGATGTGAAAGAGGCAGAGAGGTTCCTGCAGCAGTCGATGGCTCTGACCCTGGAGAAGGTCGTGGGGACAGCTGCCGACCGATCAGAGAAGGTAAATGTAGTGTTTCCGCAGAGACAACTTGGGACTGCTGTGCATTCCTATCATCGGATTCCTACAGTTGCTGGTTGTTGTAGTTTTCCTTGTCAAATAAACGAGCGTTATAACTATGTGTAAACTGCTCGTGATTATTTAGCTGGATTAGGAAAACCCACAATTGTATTAGTCTCCTCAATGGCTTGTGCTCAGGTGTGTGAGTGGGTGCCTCCAGAGAATCTGCAGGAGCTGTTGGACTTGGATCTGGGAGACACAGGAGAGAGTGAGGAGAAACTGCTGCAGAGATGCAGAGATGTCATCAAGTACAGCGTCAAGACGGGTACAAATCATTCATTCAATGGACTGTTCTGTTAATACAATCTCATGCTCAATGCGCCAATCACTACCAGCTTTTCATCTCAAATTGATTTTAATCAAATTTATTTAGCTACATAGTCATTGGTCGACCAGATGCAGAACCTATACTTTAAAAGCTAAAGAACCTTACTTTGCCCTATTTTGTGCATCTTACAAGAATATATTTTCTAACTATAACACTATTTTTTTTTTTTTTTTCTGTAACTTTTCTGCAGCCCACCCTTGTTTCTTTAACCAGCTTTATTGTGGGTTGGAGCCTTACTCTTTGGCTGCCAGCTTCATTACAGAGGCCCTCAAACCAAGCATGTAAGAGATACATATTTTAAAACAAATGTGATGACTGCCTATGCACTGTAAAGTCCTCATGTACGCTATGCACCTAGCTATACCTATGAGGTGGCCCCAGTCTTCACTCTGATGGAGACAGTTGTCCTGAAGAAGATCATTGAAGTAGTAGGATGGGAAGATGGAGATGGAATCTTTAATGCAGGTGACCCCATCTATAGTTCTACAGCTCTACTCCTGAAGAACCGGATGGACTCCATTCCAAAGTGTTTTTTGTTTTGTTTTTTTGTTCTAGGTGGGTCTCTGTCCAACATGTATGCCATAAACCTGGCCAGATATCATTGCTTTCCTGAAATAAAGAAGGTCGGCACGTCAGTTTCTCCGAGGCTGGTTCTCTTCACGTCACAGGAGGTAAACATTCAAAACATTTCATTCATTTTATTTATTTGAAAAGGGACAATGTACAATTAGAACATAAATGTTTCCATTTAATGCATTGTACCTGAGTTAGCCTTAGGCTAATTTGCATCTGTAGTACCCCGGCAGGTAAGAACACTCCACGTACAGGTGGATATACACTATGGCATTGCAACTGTAGTCCTCATACCTAATAATAAAGTAATGTATCGAATCAACAACTTGATCTTTATGTTTTAGTGTCACTACTCCATAACTAAAGCTGCTGCATTTTTGGGACTTGGCACCAATAATGTGTATGTGGTCCCATCTGATGAAAGGTAATACTATAAATCTAAAAAACGCAATTTTTAAAATCAAATCCTTTAGCCTTGTTAATTTTTCAGTGGCAAGATGGTCCCTAGTGGTTTGGAAAAACTGATTTTGAAGGCTAACAGTGAGGTTTGAGAACTCCAACTTTTTTTATTCAAATACATTTTTTATTCATGGGTTTTCCCCATAATCACTGAATCAAAAATGCTGATCTTTCATCTGCTTTTGCAGGGAGCACACCCTTTTATGGTCAATGCCACAGCAGGGACCACTGTCCTGGGAGCCTTTGACCCCATTGACCAGATTGCAGACATTTGTGAAACACATAAGCTTTGGCTACATGTGGACGTGAGGCAAACGTTTTACTTTTTATTCATCAACCATTTATGTGCTTTCACTGTGTACCATTACTTTCCTCACAATGTCAGGCATGCTGGGGAGGAGCTGCTCTCTTGTCCAAGAAACACAGACCCCTGTTGAAAGGCATCCACAGGTACCGTATTCTGTGGATCTTCTCTTGGCTCTTTAGTATGTGTGAGATTGGGTTTCCACATTTTAAGGAAATAAATATTGTCTTATCTCTGAAGCTAATTAAGACTTATCTGATTAATATTTGGACAAGTGATCACTGGAAATGCCAGAGTGAGGCTTTGGCTCAAGTGAAAACTGTTGTGTCCTGTGGCAAGACACTGATGTGTAATGGAATGATAGAAGGTGATCAGAGGGGCCAGTCTCACTGTGGTCTGCCCTGGGTGGTCTCTTCTGTGCACACTGAGTAACACAAGCTGGTGGGATGAAAGTATTTGCCTCTTCACCTGCCTTGCGAGGCAGTCTTTTTGACCAAGCACGTCCAGTGGAAACACTTCAACCAAATCTAGCGTTATTTTAGACAGAAATCAAATCTAACACAGAAGGTGAAAACAGAAGGTATTATACTTTTCATTAGTGCGTAACAAGCCATGTTAGAATGACTCTTATGTTTTCTTAACTTATCTTTTGAGTTAGTAACCTGAATATATTGAATTTGTTTTTGTCATAGAGCCAACTCTGTGGCATGGAACCCACACAAGATGATGATGGCGAGTCTGCAATGCTGTGCCCTTGTTGTTCGAGACCAAAAGGTAAACTGCTTTCCATAACACACAGGGCCTTCGCTTTTATATTATTTTATATTGTATTCATATTTACAGCATACCTTTGCTATAGTTATACTGTACTGTATACTGTACTTACCAAAAACATGCCAAATCTGGCTGAAATTTCCCCACTGTGGGACGAATAAAGGATCTCTTACTCTTAATCTTAAATGACCATTTACACAGACAACATCCACAGGTACTCTGCCATCTGTGCATTTTATGTGACATTGCACTGGAACCAAATGGAATAATACATTTTCAAGTTTCACCTGTACATTACTGTTTTCTGGCACATAAGTTAAATTATCCACATCCTGAATTTCAGCATCTCCTCCAAGACTGTTACTCGGCGAAAGCGTCCTACCTCTTCCAGCAGGATAAGTTCTACGACGTTAGTTTTGACTTCGGCGACAAGTCCATCCAGTGCAGCAGGAAACCAGACGCTTTCAAGATCTGGCTCCTGTGGAAAGCTCTGGGCACAAGCCGCCTGGAGCAGAGAGTGGATCGGGCACTGGCCATGGCACAGTCAGTGTTGCATACTGTCAAATACTAACCAGAAAATATTAGCTGTAGAGGCCGCAAATGACAATGTTCTCTTTTGTGATTAATATTGCATTATTTTTATATATATAATGCGCTTTTTTGGACACTCATTCACATGTCTTTATTCACTCCAAACGTGTGTGTGTGCATGTCAGTCACACACCAATGGCATTGTTCAAATTGTGGGTTATGGTTAATTCAAGTGTATATTTTGCAAGTAGTGAGGTTACAATACACTGTTTTCTTTCTTAATGCATTGTAATTTTGTTGCAGGTATCTGACAGAGCAGATCAAAGCTCGCCAAGGGTTTCGGCTGCTCCTGGAGGTATCCACCATGAAAGTCATATTTTAATAAATGTAATGGAGTACTACTTGTACTCTTTTACAGCCTGAATACGCAAACGTGTGCTTCTGGTACATTCCCCCAAGTCTGAGAAATGTTCCTGACGGTCCTGACTTTTGGAATCCATTGCAAAAGGTATTTCAGATAACACACTATAGTAAATAGTTGTACATCACAAAAAGTTTAAATACAGTTTAAAAGAACACAAATTTGTGATTTACTGTTTTTATAAAACATGTTTGATTAATGCTCTTGTAATAGAAGTAACAATACCAGAAATGAGGTTGAATCCTTTAAATCTAGAGCAACAAAGGCAACTTGCCTTTGAATTGGATGATCCTAATATGCCTTAATATAAATCAGAATAATTCAATTTAACAATAATTCCTTAATTAGTATATTGTGAATTGTCTACAAGCTGCAACACCCCCAAACTCCAAGCCATACTGATCGACTCGTTAATAAATAATGGTTTGCTAAATCTCACTTTGTGTCATTTGAGTCACGTATCAGCTTCCAATTATAACTGTATTACATAAAAAGAACCTTTTGGATTTGGTTATTTTGTCAAACATACAGGTTTGTGTTGTCCTGTTTTGTGAGTGTATGTGTTTTCCTACAGGTGGCGCCAATGATAAAGGAGCGGATGATTAAGAAGGGCAGTCTGATGGTCGGGTACCAGGCGCACGGGGACAAGGCAAACTTCTTCAGGATGATCATTATCAGTCCTCAGGTCTGCACTGAAGATATGGACTTTGTGCTGGATGAGATCCACCGTTTGGGACATGATCTGTGAAATAAATGACGGCTGCTGCTTTTTCCAACACTTTGGTGATTTAGTGCACGTGACATAATATCATGAACAATGATGCACTTAAACAGGTTATTTTAATACTTAACATCCAGCAAAAAGGATACCATGTGCTAACTGCTGCAAATAAACAGTGTGTCGCTACGGTAACTAACACTCATTCTCCGGAAAACCCATAGACTGTATATATTAAAAAATGGAAAACCAAGCTGAACCAGGACCAGTGTAGAGCCAGTCGAGGGCCAGTAAATTTGAGTAACGGGGCTTTTTGCATAAGTTGTAGAAGTAACACTATTATTATGTTGAATCCTACCAACCAACCAAAAATGTTTGAATGGTATATTTCAATGAATGGAGCAGTCAAAAGGACTGCTATGGGATATAAAGATGGAACTTCTCACATTTTCAAAACAGAAAAGTCAAAGTTATGAACTGCAACAAGCAAAGTAATTATGCATCAAAAACTAAAAGCAACTCAAGATGTATTAAAACCATCAAAGTTAAAGGTATCACAGAGGACTCTTTGTGCTTTTTCATTCTTGTAACTGTTTGGGGTGTTCTCTTTTTCCCAAATGTGGAATAAGGCTTCACAAAAGGTGAAAAGGTGAATACTTATCCATGGTATCAGACCGAGTCTTCGTTCGCCCACTGATAAATTCTCAAATGGTGAATGTTAAGTCTGTTTCCACCATCAAGTCATCTTCGTCTCCTTGGTAACTTTGGTAAACAATAGACAAAAACACAAACCTCTAATGCCACACAGACCGCGCGAACAGGTGCCTCACATCTGCAGAGGACCTGCTGTCGCTCTGGCACACATTTCTACACAACCATCTTCCACGCCTTTTAACCATCGGAAACGTTTCCTTTGAGTTAATCTTGGTTGCCCTAAGGAAAGTCCATGGTGCCAATAATAAAACAAAAAAGGTTAAGCTGGGGAGGAAAGATACATTTTATGGACGGAAAGAGCTGTCCCAGGCCAGCGTTCAGAAGGGGACAGTGTATGCATTGGCCTATGGTTGGTCACTGGTACCAAAGCCTGTCATTACAGCTGCATGGTACAAACTCTGGGCTAGAAGAATGTCTACACCACACTGGGCCTGAGTCACCGCCACAGCACATCATAAAGAGCCACTCCAGCTGTTTTAGTGCTGCACTTTCTACTACGGCGACTAATGTAGAAAAAGAGTCGCTTAAATGATGAAGACACAAACACTTAATGCATTGTCTCTACACTGCAAAAGGTGAGGGAAAATTAGTCAAATATTGCACAATTTTGGTAAAATGTTTCTTTATTTGAGCACATTTTGACTGCCTAAAATGTGACTAAAACAAGATTTTCAAATGGGACAAAGCAAAATGATGTTTTAAAAAGATACAAGATACACTAGTGCACATTAGGGTAGTCTTGCACAGTTTTTCCAATGTGGTTTTACTGCAAATGGCAAACAAATGAATCTGAATCTGAGATGGTCTCTCTTGGAATGAGAAAACAAAGCAGTAGTTCTTGAAATACATCTTGTTTTAAGTCAAAATGTCCTCAAATTAGGATAAAAACCACTTGACTCCAGCAATTATTTCCTCATGTTATATGTATTTTTGCTGTTTATAATGCTTCCATTAAAGAAAAAATAAATAATAAATGATCTATGGTAGTTTGGGATAAATTAAACATTTTCCAAGAAAATGCCAGATTATTGAGGCAAGGCAAGTTTATTTTTTATATCACAGTTCATACAAAGTGCTAAACAAAACTGTGATTTGAACATGTCAAAGAAGTAGCCTGTCTCACATTTTCAGGAAAAGTGAAAATATATAGAGATATGTTAGGACTATCTTATATGTTTCAATTTGTTTGGGTACCACACTACTACTACAATTCATAATAATGAATCCATTGATTATTTGCTTATGATTGTTTAGCATTTGGCATAAACTACAGTGATAGTTAGACATGAATTAGAGAATCATATTGAGAACGTTTCCAGTTAAGGATGTGGTGCAAAGTGAAGCATCTTGTCTGAAAAAGCCCAGTGTACATTCACAACCGAGATGTAGCTTAAGAGAAATATGGTTAAGACTTCTCCTGTGATGCTATAGTCCCGTTAAATATCCATTTTCTGTGGTTCAACATTTATATCAACGCTCTATAACAAAAAGAGATCTTCTGAATCTATTTTCACATGTGCTTTGTACACGTGTTGTGTAACTGCAAACTCAGGAGAGAATGTAAATTCCGTATCGTGATCCTATGAAACACCTGGTTTAAAACGTTTTCGATAGTTGTTTGGGTTTCTCGGCCCCGGCTCATGGACCAGGGCCATTCGTCTGTGTTTAAATCAAGTTTTCTTGTGTTTCTGGCAGCTGTTGTGTCTTGTGGACAGTGTGTAGGCCGTGCACTTCCCAACACACTCCAGCTGAGGCAGAGGAGCCTCTGAAATAGAAAAGGACTGTTCCGAATTTAAAACTATGGTTTTGTTTAGACTATCTCCTGCGAAACAAATGTTTTTATTATAAAAAAACAACACACAAATGAATAACGCTATGTACACAAATATTTTATTTAATAAACAATTTACAGTATTTTACATTATGACACAAAGTGAAGGTATAAGGCACAACTTTGGCACACTCCTATATTTTATGTAGATATTGACACAACTTTTAAAAATACATTTTTTATAAAGCTTTCAATATATGCATTCATACATTACATACATACATGGAAGCATGAACTTTCCCTTTGATTTGTACATCTGTACACGGTGCTTGTTTGTCTGGCAAACAACTGCTTTAATCACACAACATTCAACCCACTCACTCAGAAGGCCACTTAGTGTCGCTGCAACAGTCGGCTCACAAGGCACAACACTGTAAGTCACTCAGGCAATAGCATGTTTAAATAACATGTGTCCGGCAGGTAAAGTGCATTCAACTGTCTTTGGTTCAATACCAATTGTACTGATGTCATGATGCTGCTGTCCGCCAGAGCTCTCACCAAAAGGAAAGTCAAGAAAGCTAATAGTGATTCTATTAATATGCAGACATTACTAAAATACTTTACAGGAAACACTCAGATAATACACCGGTATACAATGTCAAAGTATATAGTCACATTGCAATCCGGAATCTGAAGACTGACCAGTAAACTTGATATGTGCAGCACTTTTTAAATTAATACCATTAAGAAACATAAAACATTTAGAGTTTTAATTCTCCTTTTCCAAATACTGTGTGTGGAGGTTTCCAGTTTTCTTTGGCCTGTTAGCTCTTTAAGTTTGTGGCTTCAGAATAAAGCTGTGGCAACAATGTAACATCACAAGGCGGCTCACTCATTGTCCTGGGAGATCAACTCCTAGTCACAAGTCCATCCATCCATCAGTGCCCACACTGCAAAAACACACACGCTACATGTGTTGCATTGTCTCAAATGTGGTTTTGTTTATGCCAACCTACCAGTCAACCAGAATGAAGAAGGTCTGTATAACTCTAAAGTGTCTGAAAAAACACATCAGCGCTTATGATTATTTAAAGAGATTATTTATCATGAAGTCTTAAAACTATTTTTAACAGTGGAACATGACTGTATAGAATGGTCCTGGTGAAGCCAAATGTTATGAAAAATCACAAAAGGCTGTTTTCATCTTATTTGACAAATTAAAAAAACAAATATCCCTGTGACTCACTGACTTATGGGGCGAGAGATAATTGACCGAGTGGTTTATTCTACCTCAGCTTTCGGCCAGAATAAGTTGAGGCCAAAAAAAACGATTTTAAATGCAGAGTTCCATTGTTTACAGTTTGATAATTGTGTACTGTACAGGTACCTTTAATTTAGACACCCATTAAGCAAAGGTCTGTAGATTTGTTGTAGTTTTAAAAAACAATTAACCTTATATTAGATTATATTTCTATATTCAAGACAAATAAACACATGTGGTGAGCGTGTTTTTTGTTTTGTTTTTTTTGCAGTTTCCTCTGACGTTGGGCTCTATTGCTTCTCATCAGAGACAGAGCAGTCCACGGCGATGATGTCCTGGAGCTCGATGATCTTGGTCTCCCCCGGGATGTCCACCTGGATGGGCAGTTTGAGCTCCGGTTCAGGGATCTTCTCGTTGGAGGAGCTGCGGGACGAGATCTTGTCCACTTGCTCCTCCAGCTCGTAGATCCGCTCGGCCACACAGTGAGCGGTCAGGCGTGCCTCCGGGTCGTGGTCCCAGCACTCCATTATGGTGGTGCAGATCACAGCTACTCCCTGTGCACGGAAGGAAGGGAAAGTGTTCAGCCTGTTTCAACGTCTATGGACTTTTATCAACATTTATGGACATTGGTCTCTGCCTCTTACGGACAAAATGGCTCTATGTGTCTTTGCACTTTTTGTGTTTGAACGGTGTGATTCTCTGATCTGTGTTGGAGAATTCAATGGTTTTGTTACGTCCTCTGAAAAAACTACTGTTGTGATTTAGGGTGATACAAGAATGAATTGAATTGAATTGAATGAAGCCACGTTCACACCACCGCATGGCGTCTGATACCCGGGTTGAATGAAAGATACATTTGTGGAAATTCATGGATGGAAAGCAATCAGACCAATGATTAATGGGTTCAGATTAACTTTGTATAAGTATATGTCAGAATAAGGATGATTATGGATATTTCATAATATATTTCTCATGAACTATCCATGTAATGTGTATTGGACTTTTTCCACATTTGTGCATAGGGCTGGATATCTTTCAGAGCCTGCTAACACAACGCTACGTATCTAAATAAATGGCCCTTTCATTTCTATGCAATATATGTCTAAAGTATTCGATACAATTCAGTAAAATATAAATACTTTTGGCCGTCCCCCATTTTAACAAAAAAACACAGTATTGGTCCATTTGTTGAAGATTTTCCAATCAATGCAATGTGCAGGTGCCTGACTTAATGGACAATAATGATATATATTTTTATATATAAAAACAAAACAGCACACCTATATATGAACAGATCTTTTGAGGAGAATGGTGGGCATAACAAACACATGCTTCTGCCTTCTCTGGTCATGGACTACCAGGATTTATGTTGATTTGTAATGTGTCCACATGACCAAAAAGAATGAATAAAGTTATCACAGAGACAGCAGGTAGTGCACTGTATTTGTTCACATTTTGTTTTTATAAGATCAATCAACACATGATGAGAGGTGAAGTGTCTTACCTGGTGCCGCAGCCATGTGTCTGGGATTTCAGGGCGTCCCCGGTCCCTCAGAACATTGTCCTTCATACTCTCCACACAGGGGTGCTCCCGGACCTTAGACCCATACGCTGGCTCATACTCTTTCACCTCTGCAACACACAAGACTCCATTTTTAGCACCATTTGATATACAGTACACATGAAAGATAATACAATAATGTGTATCTTTATGTGGATTTGTTTCTGTATGTTTTTATATTCATATCCACATAGGTTTGTCTGGATTTGTAATTTACCAGTAAGGACAACAAAAGGAAGCAGGTGCCATACAACATGTGTGATTGTGATACAAGCACAGTATTTGAAGTTCCTGCTCTGAGCCCATCCTGCCATAAACCACCATCTAACTGTAGCCACAACCACTGACCATTTGCATAACACACACAGCATGACGCCTCCACGGAATGACTGTTTTCAAGACTAACTCAACCTCTGCTTACAATGGAAAGAAGTCCCAACGGAACAGTAGCTCTTGTCTTTAGTGAAAAATTAGCATAGAGGAGTTGGAGCATAATTTTACGTCCATGAAAAATGAACAACAAAGTTCTCTGGGAAAGCGTCCAGGCCTCGTGAAACTGGACTCAGCAGCTGCAGCCTGTCTCCATCATAAGTTGCTCACAGTTGGTGTAAAATGAGCCACTTGTCTCTGTAATGTCTGGGCCCAAAGTGATGAGATGCTAATATTTAACACTTGCCACTTGTGGGTCAGTGAACTCGAAGCCTGGACATGCAGCATTTGACAACACGCTTTTGAACTAATCACTAATGTACTAATGCACTAATGTACCTGGACATTTAGGTGAAGCAACACTGTTTTTGGATCTGCAGGCAAACAGCATAAGATCTGCTGCCAATCAGGCGGCATTTAAACAGGCCCTTTGCTGTATCTAACAGCTTCAGCTCATGCCGAAACCCTCCTCCTCCACATCACTGCTTAAACAGAGGGACTTGTTCTCATATCAGTACTAACCCACGCTTACACGGACACATGTAGTTGAAAAGTAACCTTCTGAATCATTAAAACAAGATTTGCTCAAATAAATGTGGCTATTGACTCATCACACAACTTTCACCACCAGGGTCAAGACCCCGGGAATCTCATTCTCATATATTGATTTGAACTCCCTCCTGCATATTTCATTAACTAAACGGTATATCTACCAAACCATTTCACAATATGCCATATCGGGGAATGTCAATAAAAACAAAAACACATTTATTTTTTCCAGGTCTAAAGGCTAATTAACTGCATTCACATCATCCAAATGCTAAATAAACTACTTTCTAGATTGAAATGTGCAAATGTGGTTTGATATGCTTTTGTTAAACCACTGCATGGCAACTCTGGATTTATGAAGCATTTTTCTATCTGGACTATCTGCTCTGATTTGTTTTTTTTTTGTGAATTACTGAAAGCCTAATTCTTTACTATGTTTGACTAAATCCACAATTCATGGCAAAACAAATAACAGATGAGCTGAATCTAACACAGTAATAATGATGCAGCTATAAATTATATTATGCAAATCCTGAACTTCATTTCCATCCTAAGCCCTGTATTTTGGTTACAAGGGGTGTGCCAAAAATACCTAACATAATAGAAGGCATGTGCCATTTCTGGAGAGGAATAAAGTTGGTAATGTTGGTTTCAGACCGCACTCATTTATGCTAAAGGGGAGTGGAAGAAGTGTGTAATAGAAATGTATTATTCCAAATCATTCCGGGGGCACAGGAGTTTTGTATAAAAGTGTGTGGTCTGGACTCGGGAAGTGGGAAGGTTGGAGCAGGAAGCTGAAGGCAGGGATTGGAGCGTTCACAGAGGAGCTGACTCTACAGCTCTGCTTTTCCTGTTGTTGACGTGTGGGACTTCCTCTGGTCTTTAAAATGTGAAACCACGACCACTTTGACCCAGAAGCTGATCCATGCCAGGTCTGACATTGTTCACTGTTTGGCGCAGCGTTGTCTCCTGGTGGGTGGGTTTAGTTCAAGGTGAAAAGACAACATTTGGCCATTAGACTGCCTAAATTACTGTAAAATGTGATTTATTTTAGAAATCACAAATGACATACAATGTGGCAGGATCAATGGATTCAGTCTAATGTGTCTGAAGTTGACCACATAAGGTGTTTCCGTTTAAAACATCTTTTTTTTGTTATGTTTACCGGTAATTGGAATCCATGAGGTAAAATTATCAAAATGTTGTACGTTGTTCCGGTTAAAATGAAAAGATATCCAAACCGGTATAATAACTCGTTCCTACCCATATCTGTGAACCTCCTGAATGCTGGCCGTCGAGCAGAGCGGTGATGGTTTATGTCTGTGTTACTGTGTTGTGATTTATGTCTGTCTTATCTGAATTTTCACTGTAGCAGCCTGTGAGTCCAAGACAATTTTCCTACGAGACATAATAAATAAATCTTGAAAAGCCACTGTTTTCTTGGCCAGTTCTTTTGCTACTTCAATTAAAATTCTGCCACGTACAAACAGAACACTGTATCATCAGCACACACAGTGGTATTGGCAGTGGAAACTGAAGGACGGTCATTAATATAAACTAGAAACTTGCAATGGCTGAAGCCATTGCGATTGACTGCGGAACAGATCTAATGTGGAAATCTGCTAAAAAAAATCCTTGAAATCCTTTAAAAAGCCTTGAAACTGTTAAAATACTTGATAGATATTTGAAACTCCTGAAGTCCTTGAAATTGTTGAAACCTTTAAACTCCTGAAATCCTTGAAACTGTTGAAACATTGAAACTCCTGAAATCCTTGAAACTTTTTTAAACCTGGAAACTGTTGAAAGTGTGGAAACTCCTGAAATCCTTGAACCTCCTGATATCCTTGAAACTGGTTAAATTCTTAAACAGCTGAAATCTTGAAACTACTGAATGTATTGAAAGTGTCCTTGAAACTGAAAAATCCCCTCACCGCTGAAACAATTTGGTTCCTGTAACTAAGGAAACCTGGTCTGTGGTCATTATCTGGTGGTGGTCTGAGTCTTCGTTTGGGTCTTGGTCTGGTGGTATAATGCAACCTATTAGGTTGCATTATACATGAAAAAACCCTATTAAGTTGCATTATACTGGTTTACATGAAAAAAACCCTATTAAGTTGCATTATACTGGTTAACATGAAAAAAACCCTATTAAGTTGCATTATACTGGTTTACATGGAAAAATCCCTATTAAGTTGCATTATACTGGTTTACATGGAAAAATCCCTATTAAGTTGCATTGTACTGGTTTACATGGAAAAATCCCTATTAAGTTGCATTATACTGGTTTACATGTAAAAAAAAAACCCTATTAAGTTGCATTATACTGGTTTACATGGAAAAATCCCCATTAAGTTGCATTATACTGGTTTACATGAAAAAAAAACCCTATTAAGTTGCATTATACTGGTTTACATGAAAAAAACCCTATTAAGTTGCATAATACTGGTTTACATGGAAAAATCTCCATTAAGTTGCATTATACTGGTTTACATGAAAAAAACCCTATTAAGTTGCATTATACTGGTTTACATGGAAAAATCCCTATTAAGTTGCATTGTACTGGTTTACATGGAAAAATCCCTATTAAGTTGCATTATACTGGTTTACATGAAAAAAACCCTATTAAGTTGCATTATACTGGTTTACATGTAAAAACCCCTATTAAGTTGCATTATACTGGTTTACATGGAAAAATCCCTATTAAGTTGCATTATACTGGTTTACATGGAAAAATCCCTATTAAGTTGCATTATACTGGTTTACATGGAAAAATCCCTATTAAGTTGCATTATACTGGTTTACATGGAAAAATCCCTATTAAGTTGCATTATACTGGTTTACATGGAAAAATCCCTATTAAGTTGCATTATACTGGTTTACATGGAAAAATCCCTATTAAGTTGCATAATACTGGTTTACATGGAAAAATCCCCATTAAGTTGCATTATACTGGTTTACATGGAAAAATCCCCATTAAGTTGCATTATACTGGTTTACATGGAAAAATCCCTATTAAGTTGCATTGTACTGGTTTACATGGAAAAAACCCTATTAAGTTGCATTATACTGGTTTACATGGAAAAAACCCTATTAAGTTGCATTATACTGGTTTACATGTAAAAACCCCTATTAAGTTGCATTATACTGGTTTACATGGAAAAATCCCCATTAAGTTGCATTATACTGGTTTACATGAAAAAAAACCCTATTAAGTTGCATTATACTGGTTTACATGAAAAAACCCTATTAAGTTGCATTATACTGGTTTACATGAAAAAACCCTATTAAGTTGCATTATACTGGTTTACATGGAAAAATCCCTATTAAGTTGCATTATACTGGTTTACATGGAAAAATCCCTATTAGGTTGCATGATTACACTGAAGTCCTTGAAACTGCTGAAGTCCTTGAAACTGCTGAAGTCCTTGAAACTGCTGAAGTCCTTGAAACTGTTGAAGTCCTTGAAACTCTTGAAATCTTGAAACTGCTGAAATCCTTGAAACTGTTGAATCCTTGAAACTGTTGAATCATTGAAACTGTAGAAATGTCTGAAAGAGCTGAAGTCCTATTAAAATGCATGGGCCTATTAAAATGCATTGCAGAATTCTCAATGCAGATTTTTGTCCGATTGCGGAAAAACCGGAAATCGCTGAAGTCCCAAAAGTAATAGCAATAATCTCCCAAACATGTGGAACGTTTTGATGTATAACTTGTGGAAATTGTTGAAAATGTGAAAGCTGTGAAACGTGTCAAAAAAAATGACGGAATAAAGAAATACAAAACCAATGGTTGACTGCGGAAGGTTCCGCAGTCAATCAATGACTAAACAGCGAGTGCCCCAAAACATAGCCCTATGGAACTCCTGTGGTGTACAGCGGAGATAAGGTACTTTTAATTATCTGTTGTCTACCACTTAGCGATGACCTGATCCAGTTTATTGTTTGGTTAGAGCAATTTTAATTTGATAATTTACTTGGTAGGATGTTGCGGCTGACGGAGATCAAGGGAAAACCTTCTCACGACCGCACCATGATCCAATTTGCATTTTATTTCTTCATTGAAAAAGCAGCAGGCAGTTGAATATCCACAGCAGATCCACATTGAAGGGGTTTCAGGAGTGCATTATGTTTTTAGTTAGCTGCTCAGCCTTTTGGATCTTTGATATCTTTGATATGTTTGATATGTTTGGGCTTGGCTGGTAATTGCGAACCTGGTGTTTATCCCCAGACTCATTTTAAAGGCATTGAAGGCATTATTGACCAATTAATGGAAATTGGCAACTGTTTTAATACATCCCTTTGTTCTTTTAGGATTGTATAGTCTAGAAGTCAATAGAAATAATTTGCTTTACTGTTATTACCATACCCTTTCTTCATATACCGGCATTAGATTAAAAGCCAGTCAATAATAGACTTGTCTGTGAATCAATAAAATGTCGAAACCTAGACGTTTTAGTAAAAAGTAGTGATCAATAAAGATGATTTTCCTCGTGAGATTTGCCTATTTTAAGTGTATGTTGTTTACTAAGTCTGTGGCTTTGTTTGGTCCACCTGTTGACATCCTAAGCTTGCTGTTTTCTCTTAGACCCAGACAGTAATCCAGGCGCAGACCCCGGGCTACAGCGGTCTGAGACATTTAATCTCAAAAGGAAACACTCCTAAACTACATTCTGCCTTTACAGCAGATAGTTTAAGCAATATTTTACCTTCAGGAAAAAAAACAAAAAAGTTGACCCAGCTTTCTCCGCACAAAGCCCTAAACCAGCTGTTCATGAACCACACCTTATGTATGGATAAAATGACAGGCCCCACATCTGTGCACTGTACAGAAATATCCAGGGACATTTGCACATTGCTTTACACGAGCCAAGTGGGGTTAGGAGTTGTCAATCCAAACCAGCATCTACATAAACTGAATGTACTTTGTTATGGGCAGAAAGCTGAGGCCTGCAACACACTCACTGATGCTAGAGGGTGTCAATGTCATTTAGTGTCAATGGCCTCCCTAAATATCATTCATAATAACTTATAATCACAATCTCACATATTTGGTCACAGTCACATTTGATATGGCTATACTTTGCACTGAATTATCTTTTTTCCCCATGAATAACCCATGTCGTTTGTCCCAACAGAAAAAGTAAAGAGTAGAGTCTTGTAAAAGTGTAATGCTGTGAACTACTTTTTTCCTCTCAATTGTAAGAATAGTAAGAAAGAGCCAAGTGAGTCACTATTCGATGCTTTGAGCTGAGAGCTGATTGGCTGAGTGGGGGTGGAGCTCCCTTTTTCACTTTTGACAGCACTCTGCAAATACATGAATGTGAAAAATAGTATAGAACCAAGCTGTTTAGGTCCTAGAGTTAGATGGATTTGATCACATAGTTATTTTTTTTTTCAGGTTTGAAACTTTTGTACCCAAGCTTTAATGAAGCCTCACTGAGACAGCTTGCCCGAGGACAACATGGATCAAAGGACCCACATGCATCATGCAACATTCAAAGTAACTTCTATTGTTCGGTTACTATAATTGTTACATTGTGTCTCTGTGATGAAAGAAAAAATAATAGATAAATAAAAGATTAAGTAGGTGTAAAAATAAAATACGTATGATAGCTTTGTTTTAATGCATACATGTTATATTAGTAAGAAGCATCGTGTTAAGCTGAAGCCTGGAGATAGCCGTTAGCCGTTAGCCTTTAGCCGTTAGTGGTTTTGTGGCTAACACATTAGTGAGCTGTTTAATCTGAAATACCTCTGCAGCCTGTCTGACTTCAAACAAAAAAACCAATACAAAGCATAGACCTTTACTTAGAGAGAAGTCTTGTTAGGACATGCTAAAAACTGACAGCAAGTTCAGCTCATTTTAGCTTGAGTAAATCCGTTAATCCGACACATCTGTTTTCAGTGATGCAATTATGATAACGTATAAACTTGGTTTCCTGTTTGTCTGAGAATGTTTTTTAGCCTCTGTGGTTTTGACACCTGTTACAATAAGCACCATTCAATTATCATATTTTTGAAGCTTAAACAAGGAAACAATTCTAAGCCAGAAGCTGTTTAAATATGGAAACAAAAATGCAATTTCTTCACAATTCACCGCCGCGCCCAGTCTTTCTATGTGCTTATACTGGTCTTGCCAAAATCTCAGAAAGTTTCCGGTCAAAGTATTGGCATTTCCCAAAGTAACTCAGCGCTCACACCACACTCTCTAGGTTAAATCAGGTTACGTCCCTTGTTACATGGAAAAGTATTATGCACACACAAAACTATATACTTTGTGTATCCAGCTGTTTATTATATGACTGTTCCAATGTTAAATAGTGGGCAATGATCCAGGACACTCATCATGTATGGACATTTATCAATATATATGGACCGATAGCTCTATATGTTTTTTTAGTCAATGCATTTCTTGTGTTTAGACTATTTCTCTGATCTGTGCTGGCAAATTCTACAGTTTTGTAAAGTCCTCCGAGATAGCTATCTTGTGATCTAGGGCTATAAAAACATAAATTAATTGGATTGAACTGATTATCATACTATTTTCTTCATTGCTTGCTGAGGTATAAGCACCAATGGTCTATGAAATGTTGGAATGCATCTGTTCCGTCCAAAAGGTCTTGAATGAAATGAAGGAGGAGCCGTGGTCAGACAGGAGCATGTCTACTGCTATTTGTATACAGACAAAAGCCTGGGGATGTTTTAAGAAAGCTGTGTTTTTCTATAGGGAAAGTTTTATTGGATTTGGGCATAGTTGGTCAAAACCACAAAAGCTTTTGTAGCTCAGAAATGTTTTAAAGTTGTTTTTGGACTTGAAATAATGTCTGTGACAATAATGCACATGTCTAAATATGTATTTTTAGTCTGTGCCACGCTGTTCTAGTACAATGATCCAATCTGTAGTAAGATTTGGATATGATGCAGTAAAACCATTGGCAATAACTTGGAAATAATCTCCACAGCTGGAAGAATTACAATGCAGGGATTTTAGTTATTGAGAAATCTTAACCTCTCCAATAAAACACTGTTATGATGAGAAATGAGTCGTATGAGCTGAGTGTATTCAGTGCAATAGTGGAACCAGAGACAGATAAAGTTAGCGATCAGATGGTTTTTTTACGAGCCAGACACAACTTATCTATCGCCCAACTTTGCCACAAGACTGATACTGCTGCTTTTAAACAGAGCCTCTCAGTTCCTGCATCAAGCTGCTGACCGTGCAGCAGCCCTCCTCCTCCCCATCTCCGCCTCTTCAGTGGAAAATCGCCATGTTATTGTTATCATCATGATATCCCTTGTTTTGAGTCTTTCCAGATTGAATAATGCCTCTACTTGTCCACAAGACGACGGATATGTTCCAGTGACAAAAATTGACAAAATCTACTCAAATCAAGGAAGGTGATTGTGTAAGTGACAACAATTACAATGTGATCAAAAGCTGTGAAATGTTGATTTTGCATGTTATATCCCCTTTAACAGATCTCCACTGTTGGCCTTTCTGATAACACACAGTAGAATCAGCGAACCCCAGAAGTTGCCGATCGTAAAGTTGTCTGTATTTCATTATAGAAAACATCTCCAAAAGAGGCCTTCTTGTAATCCTATTGAAAGCACTCGTCTGTAGCAGTGAAGGGCTTTGAAGTGTTTTTAATCTCTTCTCCGCTGAACCCTGTCTTCGGGTGCAGGTACTGTGTCCTTAGCCGTCTCTGCCCAAACAAGGCCATCAGCGCAGCGTCCCGCACATTTCAGACATTCCCCGGATTCCCCTGAACAAACCTGGGGCTGAGGTGAAGTTTTTGGGCTGTTGACACACAAACCCCCAGCCTCCTCATAACAGGAAACGGTAATGGTCCTGTCTGCAATGTGTAGGTGACACGCTCTCATGTAACTAAATACTATAGACTTTTGGACCTTTATGGAAAACTGTACAAAGACCAAGTATGGGCATCACTTGTTGGACACACAATATGCCCTTATTGACGTTCCCTCATCAAAAGAATCTCTGGACTTGTTTTTAACTCCATTCACACGTGGCTCAAACTTGTCCCTTTTTTCTGAATGGTCCTCTTTAAAACTTTAGGCAAAACTATGATGAAACTATGGCAGACATGTTATTTGTTCTGCCTTGGCCAAACACAAGTATTGCCTCTGAATTTGTATTGTGTATTTCTCCATCACAATGACAATGACAAATGTGTGCCTTTAATCAGACCATGTCACAATGGATTTCAATGCAAATATAGCTTCAAATAAATATTCTCAAGATAATGTTTGAAGGCACAGATTTTTTTTTTTTTAACCCATCCATGTCTGAAGTTCCCACACCGAGACTGAATTTCTCTGAGCTGTAAACGGTCAAACAAACCTGCACTGGGAAAGAAAACCTCCTAAAAGTCAAACAATGCATTATTCTTATTCTTTAAACTGCACAGCACAAAATGATTACTTTACTAATGCTTGGTTTTAAATGTAAATTACGATGGCAACATTCATAATTTTTCATCCTTCTGACACACACATAAGACCTTATCGCTTCATTCTTTTTGTGTGATTTGTTTTGTTTCACTGTCATCGTAAAGCCTTTTTGAGTTGAAAAGTGCTATATACAGTAAATAACATGTATTCTCCATCTTCTACATAGTACCTTATTATCCCAAATAAATAATCAAGACCTATGTCAGGTTAAAATGATTGTACAGCCTTCTACAGATGACCTCACTTCCTGTCACTGAGCCTTTGCTGTTTGTTGTTAAAGTTCCTCCAAAGTGGCCTGAGTCATGGCAGTGGCCTCCCCTCGCTGTTATCTCAGCCACTTCCTGTTTACCTCATACCATGACATCACTCTAACCCCAGGCAGCTCATCGTATGCAAATGATAGCCTGTGGTTGTTTGTTTGTTTGTGTTGAAGCGGTGGGATCTGCACTGACCTCCTACAGCCTCGCAGCGTGACGTAATCTCCCACAGGACCAGAGCCATGGAGTAAATATCCGTCTGTTTGAAGGACTCCATATTCTCCAGGTTCAGACGCGCCTCCAACACTTCGGGAGCCATGTACCGCGCTGTGCCCACCTGCCACAGAGACAACAAACACATGCTCATTTCAACGTTTACAGTATACATTTGGTGTTTTTGTAGTGCAGCTGATATGAGTCTAGAGTCCAGGGCTACAAGGATGTATCCTAGCTGTTTTTTTTTCTCCTCTAATGTATGTCATTTGTGCCTAAATACGTGACACTTCCTGCATGTGCCAGAACTTACAAGTCAAGCAAGGCAGGGTCTGGTTAGTACTGAGATGGCTGTGGGGGTCTGGTTCTTAGACCTGGTGGCGGTCTGAGCCTGGTCCCGGTGCATATGGCTCCTCGGACTCAGCACTCAGCCTCATGCTCTTTTTAATATGGGTGTGTTTGTGTGTGTGTGTGTGTGTGTGCGTTTGTCGTAACGAATGCATGACTAAGACTGTTCTATGTGGGTTGTTTGGAGTGGGTCTGTTGGGTTGGTTGATGGATCATTGCTTTTAATTCGGGACGAATAAATAAGAGCGGTTACACTGTTGTAAGAAAAGTGCTTAAAAAAAGATTGATTGATCGGGAAATACTAGGCTGAGAATTTAAAGTACTGTAAATCTAAAACTTTGGTGTGTGTGTGAATAAGATAAGATAGGATAAGATAGGCTTTATTGATCTCACACAGTCATATTATGTACAATAAAAGTAACAGTGGCAGGTTTTTAGTCCTAGTGCAAGTGACTTGTTGGAAATTCGGGAGATCGGAACGGTACATCTATTCGTTTCTGTTACTAAGCCACAGGCAGCTGTAATTTATCACTAATATGTGCAGAGTGAATGAAATCGGGTCATAAAAAGCACTTAAGTAGATGTATTATTATCATTACATTGCTTCATTTGTCACAGACACACGGACATTGAATTAAAATATCTCTGACATAATAAACTTTGATCACATGGGACTTCTGTTTAACTGTGGTGACAAAGCGGACTGGGCATAAATCATGTTGTGATACAGTATCCAGTCTTTGAAGTCTTTCAGCTGTTTGACAAGGATTTACATTACACACATCAAACAAACTGCACCAGCATGAAACATGATGCCCGCTTTTACACATGAATAGTCGCCACACATGTATCGCCTGAATTTCACTATTTCCACCATGGGAAAATAAAAAATCGGAACCTACCACCCACATATTCTGTAGTAAGCAAACTGTGAGGCATACATTCTCCCAATTGCTATTATAACGTGTAATGTGTTTGTGAGATACTTCCTTGTGGCTGTGTGGTTTCCATCATATGTTTATTTTTATTTTTTTACAATGTATTCATAATGCGTAGCGACCACACAAACACATTTCAATTGCAAAGTTCACAGTGGGGATTTCCAGCTCATGATCAGGGCCGAAACAAATGCTTGCAGCTCCACACATGGCAGATTTACCACAGCAAAACACCACGCGGAAAGAAACGTGCGCAGTAGAATAATAAGGCTTGCGAATGAGTCAATCAACAACACTTTTTCTTTATTTGAACGTGGTGAGATTATGAAAACACGGCCGTTGTTGTCTCACGAATCACAGATGTATGTTTAAATGACTCTTGGTAGGGGCCCTCAGGTTGTTGCGTGTCACAACAACGTCCTGTTCTCTTTATCTCCACCATATGTCAGATCCGTGTCATAATGGTATAGTAGTATAATATAGTAATAATAGGATCTGTAAGCCGTACAATACACAGCTTCAGTTCACAAGTTATAGAATGTTATATAAAATATAAATCATCAATATTGGGATAAAAAATAGTCGTATACAGGATATGTCTAGTGTCGTTATTGGGTGATTAAGAAGTTTAATTTGGCTCATACTTCATACTTTTTTATGTTCTCGTTCCACTCTTAATCTCTTTTCAAAATGATTACACTTTCTTTAGTTAAAGGACAAACCAGAAGGTAAATACAGTTTTAACAAATTTTCAAACCACAGAACAATGACTATTATACAATCCATAAACTAGTTGTAAAAACTCGCTTATATTCTTTTAAATCTCTAGTTTCTTTCACATTTTCTAATTCAGCCAAAATAAAAAGGGAAAACAAGAGGACTACAAAAATACAAAAGATAATGTTCGTATAAGATGAGGATAGCATGTTGTGGTCTGATTTGTTCACTATTCCATACCATCAAAATACTCTTTGGTACAAAAAACATGTATTATTTATGAAACAACAAAAAACTTTATAAGCTTTAACTGTTATCCGAATTGTCCAAATGCTGCACAGTAAATCTCAATATATATTATATATTACTTATTGCTTCAATTCTACATTGTGTATTTGAATTAATACATATCTACAGAGTGTTAAACAAATAATTAAAGTAGCAATATGTAAGATTTTCATTTCAAGTCATCCTTAAATGGCCCTAATCTGTCAAAAGGCATTAATAAATCATGCTCTTTTCAAATACTTACTTCACTGATTACAGTAGTTCAGCTGAGATATTTGTATTTGATTAGTTTTACAGCCCCTAAATCTTCTTATTGTTTTCATTTCAATGTCACGCCCTCCACCGTTTTCCCAATCAGAAAGTCTGTGATCCACATTACCAGAACTCACCGCATCGAGCTAATCTCACTGGTAAAGTACCATGTGGCCACAGAACTAAAAAAGGTCTCAAAACAAGGAATATACCGAGGATTTCTATCAGGGCCGTGAAAAAGGTGTTGGTTATAGATTTGTTGTTGACAAAACTCTTGCCTATTCAGATATTAAGGTCCCACCTGGATTTGTCTGCATATCTGGCAACCTGAGTCAGGGAGAGTGGGAAAGGTTGCAGTACCACTTTTGGCCAGATTTTTACATACTGCTGCTTTGAGTTGTTGATTTTGTTTTTTGAGTTCTTCCAACTCACTTACTCCTCTTGAATTGATAGAATTCCCCAATTATGGATTAAATTAAGTTTTCTTTCATTCATTCGAACCCCTGTTACGTAACATGCTTGTGCTGACCTGTCCACTGTTGGCGAGGTCGTCCACTGACAGACAGCTGTCCAGTCTCAGCGCCAGGCCGAAGTCACACAGGCAACATGACAGGTCGTTCTTCACCAGGATGTTGGAGCTCTTCAAGTCTCTGTGAACAATGGGTACCTGCACACACAATTACACATGTCACACACAATAACATATGCCAAACACAATTACACATGTCACACACTGGTCTGGATAAAAGCAAAGACAGAGCCATTCTTTGCTACTCTTTTATGTACAGTACACGTGACTAATATTTAACTATTATCTACAGTATGTCAAGGAAATCCAGCTGTTTCCAGAAATGGCGGGTGTGGCTGCATTCCTGCGTTGGTTTTCATTCCAACAAACCAGGAGGCAAGGCAAGGCAAGTTTATTTGTATAGCACAATTCATACACAAGGCAACTCAAAGTGCTGAACAAGATAGCATTAAAATCATAAATAATTACAGAACATTAAAACGAAAGATAAAAATATACAATCCCTCAGTTGTATGCACAGCTAAACAGCACCGTTTTAACCTGGTTTTAAACATTGTCAGAGAGGAGGCCTGTCTCACATCTTCAGGAAGATTGTTCCAGATTTTAGCAGCATGAATCTGAAAAGCAGCCTCCCCATGTTTAGTTCTGACTCTGGGCACTAACAAGAGTCCAGTCCCTGTGCTCCTCAGAGTCCGGGCTGGTTCATATGGGACTAACATGTCACTAATATATTTTGGTGCGAGGCCATGGAGAGACTTGTACACAAGCAGAGCTGTTTTAAAGTCTATTCTCTGAGCCACAGGAAGCCAGTGCAGAGACCTGAGGACTGGACTAATGTGGTCGTACTTCCTGGTTCTAGTCAGGACTCGAGCTGCTGCATTTTGAATGTACTGCAGCTGTTTTACAGCCTGTTTGGACAGACCTGTGAGCAGGCCATTGCAGTAGTCTAACCTACTGGAGACAAATGCATGGATAAGAATCTCCAGGTCTGCTTTAGACACTATGTTTTTGATCCTGGCAATGTTTTTTAGATGGTAAAAAGCTGCTGATGTTACTGATTTGATGTGGCTATTAAAATTTAAGTCTGAGTCCAGTATTACCCCTAGATTTCTGACCTTGTTTGAAGGTTTTAGGGAGAGAGACTGTAGATGACAGATGACGCTCTCTCTTTGTTTCTGGAGCACACCAGGCTCCACGTATTTCCTCAAATCTTCAGGTTCAGGCTGGACTCGCTTTTAATGAAATGGGTGGAGTGCGTTTGGAATGAAAACCTGCAGCCACAACGGCCCTCTGAGGACCAGGACTCTTCTCTATGTCAATATCACCAACATCTATCAAGAGTGATGAAACTTGAGCATGAACTGCAGGTGGCTGACAATGACGTACTACAAGTTCTTTGGAGAAAGCCACAAATAACGAGTGCATCATTTTTTTTGGTTCAGACTGAAAGTCAGAAAATGAAATTATAATATATTGGCTCTGACTAAGATCTTGTTCTTGTGTTTTAAAGGTTATCATTGTATTTTTTCTTTATGTTTTAAATATGGTAGCAGAGTACAGAATGATGTTGAATTGAACTATTCTGGATGATATTTCCTTTTGCAACGAATACGGCATCATATTCCCAGCTTATCTTACAGTACTTGCTTTTGGGTTTTGGGATGGATGAATAAAAATGAGGGCTGTTGCAACAGTGCTTAAGGGTTCTCCTGGATTCGCTGATGGCTGCTTTTTCACCATATTTTTAATATGGTTGTCACAAGAAGGAAGCCCTCACACTTCGATGATGATTATGACATTTGTTGGCCTTTTTCAGAATTGTCCACAGTGTATTACACAGTGTATCATGGGGATATATCATTCATCCGTGTTTATTTTTATTATTTTCTCAAGTTAGTTGTTTTTGTCCAAGACCTATGTGTGTGTGTGTGTAAGTGCAAAAAATGATCAAACAATATATATACCGTATATATGAAATATTTTGAATTGGAAAGCGTCCCAAAATCAAACCGGTGGTTGAATGCCATGAACACAAAAGAGCTTGCCATGTCTTCTTCTTGTCATGGTAAAAATCAGATATTGTATGGCTGTAAATGATAAACCACTCAGTTCTAATAATTTCATAAGTAGTCCAACCTTAGGCCGTCCGCAGGGCAGGTGGTCACTGTGGAGGTGAGCCACTCCTCGGGACAAAGAGCTGCCCAGCACCTGCAGGTCCTCCCAGCTGATCACATGGCGGGTCAGGTACTCCTAAAGATCAGGGGAAATTCTCACATTAAGTAAAACAAGAACAAGAACCCATCCATCCATCCATCCATTTTCTACCCTTTAATCCATTTCTGGGTCAGGGGGGTGGCAGTCAGAGATGCCACCCAAGTCTCATAGCACCAGCCCCTCACTGACCCTCTGCAGGTGGTGAGTCCACAGGAGGGCGGCTGCTCTCTGAGTGTGAGCATAGCCTTGATCTTTCAGTGGGGGCTTTTTGGGCAAAGTGGGGTTAAGTGTCTTGCCCAAGGACACAACGACAGCAGTCATCAGTGGGAGTCGGTGGAGAAGGTGTCGAGGTGGGAATTGAACCCACGACCTTCAGGCCTTAAGGCCAATGCTCTACCAACTGAGCTACTGTCGCCCCAAGAACCCCTAGATGTAAAATCATGTCTTGCGTCTCTTGCCTGTAAATTCCCTCTGGAGTGAAAGGCAGTGATGAGCCAGTACTGCCGCTCCACCTTCCTCTCCTCGGCTGTGAGAAAGTGCAGGACGTTCTCGTGCCTGAGGTCCGTGTCTGAGAAAATGTCTTTCTCTGTTTTCCAGGAGGCGTATTCTTCATATGGGAAAATCTTCACTGCGACCGTCTCGAACTGATCCGACGTGGTCTGCTTCAGCTTGGCCTTGTAGACCTGAGCAAAGCGGCCCTTACCCACCTACAGGACACGGTCAGACTGGGTTAGAAATGGGCCCTTCAGATAACAACCCCAGCTTTCTATGGTAATGAATGTTGTGTTTGTGTTTATTTACACTTTAATGCTAAGTCTAGAGGCATTATGTAAAGCAGACAAGTGAACATTGCTACTATGACCATTCATAATTGTTTTATGAAGCATACATGTATTGGAATAATCGCGTAGTTCAGAAAGTACAGTATATAAAAAAGGTACAATGTGTAACACAAGGTGTTACACCTTGTGTTACACATTGAGATTAAGAACCTCTTTTTTAAGGTCCTGGATACCTACATAGCCGTACATTTTGCATTTTCATTACCATCACAGCTAAACCAGGTATAAAACAAAATGTATCTGCTTTTATATTAACAATTATTGCTCAGTGAGGTCTTCAATAGGATTATATTTTCTATAGAAGTTCTGATAGAAGATTAACACAAAGTGAATTCAGAACACGCAATGAACCACAGAGCCCAACAATAACTGAATGTATTATAATGTCTATATTATGTAGTTTACCGAGTCTATCATATGTATTTTTTTGTTCAAATTCACATTCTCTCCCAGAGTTCCCTCAAAATAACATCTACAAATTCCCTAAGATCCAAAAGATGATTGCCAGAGCCCCACGCTGCTAATGTACAGATGTGAACATACTGCTGCTAACATGTACAGATGCTAACTACTATTGTTTGCACTAGAAAAAACAGTACTTTATTTGTAAACTTCTTTATTATTGTTATGTTCAAGATAGAGCTTTTATACTTGTGTCTTTAATGCTACAGAAAGAATGTTGTTTTATTTTAATTAGTAAAGCTATTGTTCATTTAGCTTATGCTGTGAGCCCCTCATTCCTACAGTTCTGTAACTTGTGATGCAACACTGAAATTTGCCCGCTGTGGGACGAATAAAGGATCTTAATCTTAATCTATAGTATTTGGTGGTAACACAGTGTGAGAATTACCATCTGGTCCAGCTCTATGGGCAGAGGCTCGGTGTTGTGGTTGATGTTGTTGGCGTGCGTGGAGCTGCTGTCGGAGCCGTTGTCCATCATGATGGCACAGCTCTCACTGCAGTCCAGCCCCCCCACCTTCCTTTTCTTCACCGCGCTGTCCCAGTCCGGGCTCAGGCGCTGACGGGACACTGTGTACCAGTAGAACATGCCCAGCACCACCAGCCCCACCAGCAGCAGCGGCAGCAGGCTGACCAGGATCACGGAGAGGAACTGGGTCTCCTCGGTGGCATCAACAACTGCAGACAGACACAGGAAGAAAAGGATCAGGATAATGGCCTTGTATGAAAGCAGATGTTTAAAGAAAATTACAAACTAAAAAATTATTAAGATATTCATGGGTACTTTGACATTTTCCTTCCAACTTATTCCATGTAAAGTATATAACATTAAGTTAGGACGACCAGATTTTTTTTACATCAAAAAGTGGGACACATGGGATATGATAATGAGATAGTATTGTTTTATTCAGTTTAGTTTAGTTTAGTTTGTTTGTTTTATACACATTTCATAGTGAAATTCTTATGTACCTATCAGCCGATGTCCAGTACAGTATTCGGAACACACAATGACAGAATAATATCACAGAAACAAAAACACAGAGAGTTAGACCCAGTTTAGAAAAACATTTGCTTTTGGAGCTTGGTTGCTTGTTTGGAACTATTTTTCTCTCTATTTTTTTAGTTAGTAAGTAAATAAGCTTTACTTACTCACTTACTTACTATAACCATGGGTACTTTAACAATTTCCTTCAAACTTAATCCATGTAAAGTATACGACGTTGAATTAGGGCGACCAGTTTTTTTACATTAAAAAGGGGGACACACAGGAGATGAGGATGAGATAGTATTGGCCTTTTTAGTCTGATATCATTTTGGCTGATAATACTGTACATCCACTTCTATTGTTGGTTGGTGTCAAAGTTGTAAAAAAGTGGAATGTTGTAAATTGTAATGATTGAGACACAAGGTATAAAACAGGGACAGTCCCATAAACAGAAATGTCTGGGGACTCTACATTAAGTATCAAATGAAAAGAAAATGATTCATGTCCCTTTAAGAATAAGGGAAAATTCCTCTGCATTTAACCGATAACTTTTGAGACCCACCTCCAGATCTTGAACTAGGTTTCGAAATTGTGGTTTCAAAACCTAGTTCACTTGTGGCACTTGTGGTTTGACATGAAGTTGGACTCTGATCTCCGTTTGACTTGAAACTTAAATCCGTGGTTTACTCTGCAAATATGAGTGGGATTGTTTTGTGGGCGTGGCATCAGAGCATGAGTTCAAACAGAGGTTCTATGCTCACATCATGACAATGGCCATTATTAGATTATACAAAATAAATTCATAGACAATTCTGGAGTTCAAATTTAAAAATAAATACGACTGTGTATAAATTCAGGACTTTGAGGTGCCCAGATGAGAATATCTTGTGCTATTGACCAGTGTTTATCAACCGGGAGTATGACATGAAATAAATTGGTATTGATAATAACTTTCTAACAATATATACATTGAACACATGATGCAATTAGTAATACTGGGGCTTGCTAAAAACTGATGCACAGTACATGCATCCACTTTTATTTCAGAACAAGCTAAAACTATCGTCCTACATAATATAATAAAGCAAAAAACAATGAAAAATATGTGCTGAAAAAGGTAAGGCCTTGATAGAATAGCCTAAAACAAAATTGTAGCCACAAATGTCTCTGCTGGCAAGAAGGTACACGCGGAAAAAGGTTGGGGACTACTGCTATAGACCTCATCTTTCATTCCTCTGGTTTTCATTGATACAATTTTAAAAAATAATATCCCACATCTTAGCTTCTTGGCAACAAGATGACACCACAAGGCCAGGTTACAAGTCAAGTCTATGGAAAGGCGCTTGCTATTAAAAATACATGTTTTTACAGGGATTTTTTTGCAAAGAAACCTCTTCAAGTTAAATACATGCGAAGTACGTATATCTAGTTTCATGCCTTTTTGTCTTATACTGCAGACCAAGAAATAACATACCAGAAATATTACTTCATCCACATTTAACAGTAGCTTGTACCATGTGATATAGAACAGCTATGACAACACACATATTGGCAATTGAAGCAACAAAACCTGGATCGGTATAAGGTCCAAAGAAAACCATTATTAAGGCCTCAATTGAAAACTGTTTGGATTACACCCACAACTGTCTCATTTGCTACAAAACGTAACAGCAAGGCAAAAGTCAAATTCATTTTTTACTACTGTTCTTTTACTGAAAAGAGTCTGTGTTTCATTTAATCTTGTCTGCTCCAGGGCATATAAAAGTGTCTGTATCCACGCCCCTCCGGTCTGACCAGCCATCGGCCCACACGTCGCTTCTCTCACTCCAAAACAGTCTGGAGGCCTGCCTGCATGTGCAAAGACTTCTGTGAGTCTCGTCCTTCAAAACCTCCGCAATTTCCTCCTGCAGCCGCCGTCCAAATCAAGCACCGTCCATTACTAAAATTCTTCAAAGTCTGTGAAAACACACGACTCCGCGCTCTCGTAAATCTAGAGCTTTGAGCCATGACAATGTTCTTTTTAAAGTACAGACTGTCTTTGGGTTCACTGGAGTGGAAGAAGTACTTGGAGAAGGTACGTGAGGTTACTTCAAAATGATAGCTAACATGTCATTAGTCTTCAACATTTGCAGTAGACATTTTGCAAATAAACCTGGAATACTCCTTTTTACTTCTTTTGCAAGAGATGCATTTATCAGCTCCAAACCGTACCATTACCACATGCCCTACAATCATTATTATTATTCCTGCCATAGGTCACATTCTTCAAAGGGGATGTCAGCAATTTAAAGTGGATTTCATTTTTTTTTAAATAAAGTGTATTTCTGACCTAGGGTAGGATCATTTTTTACAGAAATAATATATTTAAAATTATTATTAATTATATATATATATATATATATATATTTAATATATATTATATATATATATATATATATATATATATATATATATATATATATATATATATATATATATATATATATATATATATATATATATAGCTGAGCTATAGCAGCTGGATAGCTCAGTTGGTAGGGCACAGGACTGGGACCTGGGAGGCCAGGGTTCGAATCCCACCGGGAGCACATTAACACCAACATCCAGTGAGGGTCCTTGGGCAAGACCCTTAATGCTATCATAACCATGAAGGTACAAATAAGCAATGAGATGCCGGATAGCCGCTACTGGAACAAGGCGAAAGTGGACGAGATGCGATAACAGGGCTCTGTTGGAATGCTACTACTCGAGTAACCCTGGCCAAAGAGGTTACATGCAGAGAATGTGGGCTGAATGGTTACTTCGAAACCCACAGTCACAGTTGACCCCGAAACAACTGGTAGCTAACCCTGGTATCACAGCTTGAGATTGATGAAGTACAACACATATATGATGCCACAGTTGCCGAGGTCAGAGGGGAGATCCCACCAACTGCAACTCCCAACCAGATATTGGGTACATAGCCCCAATGGAACCGATAACGCTGAACGAGGCAGCGACTGACCTGAAAGCTAAGATCATGGCTAGAATGGGCACAGGGCAAAGACACCGGTTACAGCGGTTGTGTGAAGTACCACCTAAGGATCTCATAGAAAGCGTGAATGCAGCAGTGAGGGCAATACCTACCACCACAATCACTGAAACCAATGAGCTGATATACACTTCAGCAGCAGTGATCCTAGAGATGCTTGGCTATAAGAGCAACCATGGGAGCCATGGACCAATACCCACCATGGAAAAGACGGTTGGAGGCTAAGATCAAGGCGGCTCGGAGAGAAGTGAGTCAATTAACAGAGGCCCAGAGAGGTGCAATGAAAAGACCAGTACCCAGAAAGTACAGCCAGATGACCATACCTGAAGCACTCGAAACTGCCAAACAAAGGCTCCAAGCCCTGGCCAGCCGCCTACAGAGGTACACTAAAGAGAATGAAGCCAGAAGGGTGAACAGGCTGTTCGTAACACAACCTGCGAAGGTGTACGCTCAGTGGCAGGGTAACAATAGGGGAGCAGATCCACCGAGGCTGGAAACTGAACAGTTCTGGAGGAACATATGGGAGAAGGATGCAGCACATAACAGAAGTGCACAATGGCTGGTGTCCCTGAGAGAGAGCACAGCCAGGAACAGAACAGTTACCATCACAGAGGCAGACTCCAAAACAGGTATGAAAAACTGGAACCTGGCCCTGAGTGATGTCCATGCTACTGTGCTAAGACACTCACATCACACCTTGACGCTCCTAGCACACAAATGACCAGCTGCCAGAGAGATGGTGACCATCCAGAATGGCTCCCGCAGGGCGACGGTCCCTGATCATGAAGGACCCAGCCAAGGTGCAGTCCCTCCAACTACCGGCCAATAACCTGTCTCTTCCACAACATGGAAGCTCATGTCAGGCATCATTGTGCGGCTAGATAAGTGGGCATATGGGAACAAATTCATGACACAGCCAGAAGGCACTGGTAGGGACACCAGAGGAAGCAAACACCATCTCCTGTTGACAAGAACAGGCGCCCCAAGACTGCCGGTCACGACAACGACCAACCTTTGCACAGCCTGGATAGATTACCAAAAGCCTACTACTCAATGCCACACACATGGATCATGGAATGCTTGAAGTTGTACAATATCACAGGGCTCTAAGGGACTTCGTTGCAAACTCGATGGGAATGTAGGGCAGACCACCATGAGGCACATGGCAAGCGCTCGCACAAGTGACCATCAAAATGAGGTATCTAACCAATGGTGATCTCTGTCCCCACTACTGTTCTGCATATGCCTCAACCCTCTAAGCCAAGTAATTGACCAGACTGGCTATGGATACCGCCTCAGAACAGAGCAAAGATCAGTCACCTGCCTCTACATGATGACATCAAGCTGTACGCCAAGAGCGAGAGTGACATTGTGGGGAGGGACCCCTCTCTGATCCAAACAACCAGGATCTACAGCCATGACATCGGGATGTCATTCGGACTCAGAAAGTAGCAGATGGTGACTCGGAGAGGCAAGGTAGTCCACACAGAAGGGATCTCACTCCCAGAGGGACCAATAGCAGACGTTGAGGGACAGTATCAAGTATCTCGGTATACCACCAGGCAAATTCAACCTCGAACAGGTGACGAGAAAGCGCAACTGTCCAAATACCGTCCAGCGAGTAAGGCAGGTCCTAAGAAGCCGGCTACAATGGCAAGAACAAGGCCCGGGCAATAACAGCTACGCCCTGCCAGTGATGTCAGATACCCTGCAGGATATAATCAGGTGGCCAAAGGAAAGATTCAGACCACGGATGTTAAAACTCGAAAGCTCTTACCAAGCATGCGGGTTCCATCCCAAATCCAGCACCCTGAGACTGTACGTAAGGCGTAAAGAAGAGGCCGAGAGCTGTGAGTGTGACTAGTGACTATCCAGGACGAAACATCCAAACCCATAACTACATCCAGGGACGTAGGCAAAACGGCTGACGTACTCATGAATGACTCAGGCAGTGGCGAGATTAGGAGGTGCTGGGAGGAGAGCCATCATGGAATAAACAGCCCCAACACGGCATGTACCACCGGAGCATAACAAAGTGGCTATCTCAAGAAGTCCCAACCAATGGGCTAGAAAGGCTTGCATACAGGACAGCACAAGCGCTCATCATGGCTGCACAGGCACAGGCACTAGAGCACCAGAGCGATAGAGGCCAGATATACCAACACCAGACAAGACCCAATGGTGTCGGTGTGCAAAGAGTGCTACCTGAGACAATCCAACACATAACAGCAGGTCAAGAGTGCTGGCAGGGAAGGCCTACATGGAACGCCATAACCAAGTGGCTGGCATAGTGTAACAGAATCATCTGGCAGAAGGTATGGGCGGAAAACCCCAAGGTCTAAGTGGGGAAACTCCTCCAAAGTGGTGGAGAATGAGCGTTGGCGAAGATCCTGTGGGACTTCCAGATACAGACCGAACCAAATGTAATGGCGAAACAACCTGACATTGGGTGGTTGGTAGACAAAGGGCATGAGGACAGCCCGTGGTGGTGGACCTGTAAATTTACAATTCCAAGCGATGGTAACATCCGGAAAAAGAACAATGAAAAGCTTGAGAAATACCAAGGTCTCAGAGAGGACTGGAGAGGGCCTGGAAGGGTAAAGGTGACAGTAGTGCCCGAGGTTGATCGGTGTCACTCCAGGGCAGTGACCGAAGCTAGAAGAGTGGTTACAGCGATCCCCGAACAACCCGGATCATCTCGGTCAAAATGTGCAGTGCCTAGGAACAGCAAAGATACTGGCAGAAACCCTCAAGCTCCCAGGCCTCTGGTTAGAGGACCCGAGACTTAGGAGAGGGATAGACCGCCCGCGAGGGCAAAGGTGAGTGGACAATTTTATTATATATACAATGCACATTAAAATGTGAGGAGTTAATACTTTTAAACCTAACTAAATATCAAATGTACTCATAGCAACACACTAATAAAAAAGAGACAGATTTTGGTTTTAGCCCAGTGATTCCCAAAGTGGGGTATGGCGCCTCTACAGGCCACAATGTGTGTTGAGGAAACAAGAATACAATAAAAGTACATACAAAATATAAACACTGGTCACGGTTTATCATAATACTGATTTATCAACTTGCTGTTTAAAGAGTAGGGTAGACAAATTAATACAAATGTATATACATCCAAGTTCAGCTGTGTGATTGAAAGATTCATGTCAACCAGTAAATATAAGTAAATATGTCCATTAATAAATATGTATCAATGTCGTAATAAGTTGATGAAAAAAATAAATGAATGTGTCTGAAGCATAGACTTTCTGAAGAGAGGAACCTTTCCGAGAAATCTGGACCCCGGAAACGTAACTAATTTCTAGTTGCACATGGTCGGAAGTTTGTCTCCTGGAGTCACATTGAAATTTGCCTTAATTTCATCTTCACGTCAAACCACAAGTTAGTTTTATAACTCATCCATTTTTGCTTTGATTAACATGTATTTGTTTGACTTCTTGGTCTGTGTGTTTGTTTCCAGACAGCCTGATGTCCCCACGGACACAGCAAGCTACGCTAGCACCACCATTAGCTTTCCTCGCCACATAAAATGATCAAATATACACAACTAGCTGTTATATCACGGTGCTTTCCAACCTATATTGAATTATAATCAAGTTGTTTGTTTGAGTAATTTACACGGTGCCTTCTGCAGCAATGAAAAATACAGTGAAGGAGATTGTTAGATGAAATATAAAGTAGCATATGTTACCTCTTGCACGTTACCACAGAATACGTGCAGCGTTTCCTGATGAAATGTTTTCATTAATGCAACATATAAGATGTTTTACCTCAAAGCGCTTCGACTCGGCTGCTATGCAGAGTGACAGGTGAGCTCTCTATCTAATACCTACTTTATGTTTCCATACAAATGTTGGTTTTTAATTGGCTGTTATTCTCGTCACAGTTCTATACATTAGAGGGACGCCTCTTCATCGGCTCATTCCTTCTTGCACTTTCTGAAACATCTCTATTCGACTGCAGCAGATTAACACACCGCCTCCACGAAGGGTGCCAGCTGGAGCCTGACCTTGAGGAGGCTTTGGTTCCACGAAGCAGTCCAGTGAGTCCCTTTGGAGAGCTGGCTGTACTCTACGCTACTCCCTCCCTGCTGCCTGGAGCCTACCCTGCCCAGGAGGAGGCTGAACGGCTAGAGAGAAGGAGTCTTCCACAGGGTCCTGTTCCAGTGGCATGGAGGAATTGACAGCGGTCGGCCGCACCTCACAGCTGTAAAATGTGTTGAAACTCCGTCGTGAGGAAGCTGAACCAGCCACAAATACAAAATGCTTCTAAATGCGGAGGAAGTTTGTGAGGAGGAGAGTGATGGAGGGCAAGGCAAAAAGAAACAGGTGAGCATCACTGTGGCATTCACTATACAAATACATTATTTATGCCAAAATGTCCTTCAACAAGCAACCTACAAAAAATTATAAAATCTCACTTTTATATTTGTTGCATTTAATGTCTGCCATTCAATGAAAGTTACCTTACACTTGCAGAGAATTTGAAAGCGATCTCAAGAGACTTTGGAGAAAGCTGGACTAAAAGCGGTCCCCCAGAGGGATGAACACCCCAAAACACTCATTAAACAACGAAGAAATAAATACGACGGTCATACGTGACAACACTTCAACACGCTCTGAACAAAGAGAAATTTTATGCCTTTTCAATAATAGAAGTATTCCACAATCTGTAAAATATTTAATACCAAGGTGTTTAATGCTGAATAATAAACAACTGAACTTAGATCTGTTTGGTGCAGTTTCACTTTTACACAGTAATGGCAGTGTTTCCCCACAAGATAAGTTGCATGGAACACTTTTTGAAATCCGAATAATTATAAATATCATATTTCTATGTTATTCGGTTATTACTGATAATTCTACTTGTGTGCCATGAACAGAATAGAAAAAAATGAATTACAAACCAGGACACCTTTCTATACCAGCACCTGTGGCTTCCACGGACTCACATTTCAGAAAAACATGGTGCCTACAGAATACTAGAGTTGCTATTTAAGACGTGGGGCGATGTGTGTGTTGTTTAGTGCTAGAGGTGGATCTCGCGCGTAAACGCCAACACAGCTTCAGTTGCGTCCTGAAACTGGTCCGGTGTTGGGTTTCAGTGGGTAAGGGGCGGCGCATGGTGGACCGAGGATAAAATTAAACACTTGGATGTGTTTGCAGCCGCAGCGCTTTGTGTCTCTGCGTCCTCTGCTCGAAGCCTACGCACAAAGCGCTCGACATGACGGCTTATTTCACAGTAAGTCTCTGAACACACTGGACTTTTGGAAACGAGTGCATTTGTAGTTTAACTACTTGGATGTCAAGTTTCCAGTTCATGCAGAGATTGACCCTTTTCAAACTTTTGTACCCATCAAAATGCTTGTCTGCCTCAATAGTAAGTATTTTAAAATAATTCCTATAGTGTGGAACAAATCATACCACAAGGCTGCTGTCTTTATCTTATTATCTTTGCATATTTTTGTTAAGTAGAAAGTCAACTATTTGACGCTTTGAGCTAGAGCTGGAATGGCTGAGTGAGGTTCCGTTATTTGGGGTTTTAAAGTTGGTTACCCCAAACTTTAAGCAACTTTTCAACTTTTTTTATAGACCCCAAGTAAAATTTTTAAAGAATTGGAAACTAGAGCACGATTAATGTAATAAATACATTTTTATATTCATTAATTAAATAGTAATTTTGAACCCATTTCAAACTTATAACATATATCTTTTTTCTTACCTTTCTGTCCAACTTATACATTATTTATATTTACAAATTTCTAGAGTAAAAAATGGTGTGTCCCAACATATTTTTAGTTTTTTTCCTTTTGTTTCATGTTGCGTTTATAATCGTTTGTAGGGATTGTATTTAAAATGCAATACAAAATATTGGTATTAAAATCAAATTTTCTTTAGATTCCATGTATACTGGTGAAGCCAGCTGTTTCGTGCCTGTTTGTGATGGTGTTGGGGCTTTTGTGGCACGGCCCAATTTGTTTATCCAGTTAAATGCTGTTTCAGAGTCAGCACAATCCTAAAGGCCTCATAACTGTATGGTGGGGTGCTCACCACAGAGGTCTGCTTTGAGGGTGCAATTACCGCCCTGCACCCCTTTAAGGATAGGCTACTGTTCTAATGATATAGTAAAGGCTGTCTGTATCACTCCAGTATCAGCTACTATTGGTACATGCTTTATTCTGTTATGTGGATCAAGCTGTTAATAAAGAAACTTGTGTTTCTAGAAACGCATTAGAATCTCCAGGACCTTTCAATGGATCTTGTGCTTTTAGCTGCTACTGCACTAGACCATGTCTGTACGCAGTGACTAAGCTGTGAGCAAACTTTAATTTCCCCCAAATCATCCGTAAAAGATGAGCAGATAGAGAGGAGGACAAAAACAAGTCCAATCAGGATTTAAAGGAGAAATGTGATGCATTATTTGGCCATTACAAAGGAAAATGGGAATATCACTTCCGTCATTAATAATCTAGAAATTAATCTGAAAAAAAAATGCTTCCCTCTGTAACCTCCCCATGCCAAGACCAGGGCAGGGCGTAAAATTTGTTAATCATTTTCCAATTTGAAAAGTATCCAGGAGGACATTTCCAATTGAAGAATTTGACAACACTGAAATTTGTGGCAAGACTTTGTTTTAAAGAAAGACATATAACATTATCTTTTGGTCTATTAAACAGGACAATGAACTTTTTATTTATTCTATTTCACGTTATAGAATGCAAAAATAATTATCTTCAGTCAAAATATACGTATAAGGGTGAAGCAAGCTATCAGCCAGCCCTATCTCTACCTACCACAAGAGGGAGGAGTAGAATCAGCGTTCCTATTACATACAGTATAAGTGTGTGGAATGAAAAAAAATTTTGGTTTGTGACGTGATCGTGATTAAGTGGGGTAATTTCAATAGAGACCTTGACAAAACTAATAAACGGGAAAGTACAATGTTTTAAATGCGAAATTGCTCTGAAAATATGTCATAGTAGTTCAATGACATCATACTATGACAGGATCTGTTAGACAGAAGGCTCGAGTTACATGTTTTGACCAGAAGTTTCCAATAACTCTTCGATTGATCTAGAAACGACTCTAGTCCGGCTTTGATGAGTAAACAAGTGTTGTTAATGGTTAAAAATGGGCCCACTCCCCTGCTCCACATAACTGTTTTAGGTGAGTGTAAAAGTGACCTCCAGTTTCAAATAGTCAGCATTGCGATTGCAGGTAATTGTTTAAATGTGGTGTAATTTATGCACGCATCTCAAAGCACCATTGTTAATTCATCAACATTATAAACAGCCTTGAGTCATCAGCTCTGGAGAAGCTATGGGCAAAATTACAACTCGTGTAATTTCATTTTAAACCACTAGATGGGGCAACACGATGGTGGCTAGTTTGAGTTGCTCAGTTTGGAGGTTCTGGTTTTGATACCTGGGCCTAAACAGGCCTTTCTGAGTGGAATTTGCATGTTCTCCTCGTGTCCAGTTTACCCCACCACTAAAGAAATGCAGAATAGTCAGAATGAATGAGTGACGACAGGCTGCAAGTTGGTACTGTTCATTAATGCTCACTGCCGCATTCCACATTAACACATATTAAACAAATAAAGCCTACCTTATAAGCAAAATTGGTCATAGATTTTGGAAGGAAAATATAGATAAGTGAAGGAAAGGTTGTAGCAATGTGTAATAATCTGGTCATACAGTAAATAAAACTTGACATTAGTTCCAGAGTATAAAGTGTAATGTATGTATATGAGCAACTACAGTAAAGCACTTTGTACAAAAACCATAATGACCTTAATATGAAATGTCTGCCATTTTAGCCACTTATTTAATTCCTGTGCATCTTTGTGAAATGAAGATGGGTCTCCCATTATGCAACTTTATTAGCATTCATCTATTGATTGTTCCATTTATTTTCCAAAGTGAACTCATGTGTCATTCTTGAAATCAGAGACCCCAACATTATATATTAGCTTTGGTTATCAGATAAAAATATTGTGGAAAAATCAAAATTTTCCATTAACACTTATAAAAGACACATGGTGAACCCCAGCCTTCACAAAGGCCTCGATAGACTTTGCACACACAAAACTTTCAACTTCATGTTTTATTTCTAGAGACACATATTGTATGATCTTTGCATAGGCCTGTCCACTTTTTTATTCTGCTGATAAAATGTTGTAAACTATATTGAGCAGTGTTTTTAGTCTAATACACATGTAGCAATAATAAACATGTTTCAGTGAAAACACAAATTACTGTAGTAAAACTTGGAACCTCCCATGAATCACTACGTGCTGTCCTTGGGACAAAATGACCCGCCGTGATTAAAAACACCCGATTTCTGAAGAGCTGATTTTTGAGGATTTTTTAAATAATTTGGACCAGCCCTAGGTCGTTTACACCCGTTTAACCCCAATTTAAGATTCTAAGAGTCTACTTTGAATCACAAGGGCTAGAGATGGGAATTCATAATAAATCCCAATGATTCTGATTATTCCTCTCAAACTGTTTAACAATTTCTGTATCGCTTCTTGAGGATAAAAAGAAAAATGACATTAGCCTAATGTTATACACGTAGGTATAAGTTTATAATGATTTCATCAGAGGTGGCGAGTCAGCTGTGCACCCTGTTTGTGAGAATAAGAAGGAGAAATAAACCTCTGTAGAATCGGCCCGTCACGTGTTTCAGTGTGGGTTGTAGATTTCAACTTTTATTAGAAGTCAAGAGCTGCTCAGGGAAAACAAAGTGGCCTTGAAGCAAGCGGCTCCCTGAGAGCAAATGTTCGCTAATGTATCGGGTCTCAACACTTTGTGTATTTACCGACTGGACGACAATAGCATCATTGTGACAGGCCTATGTGCAGTCCAGTCACACTGCTCTGTGCAGAGGATCATTTAAAATCGTCACCAGACCAGTCCCACATTTACCTAGTGCACAAAAACAGTCTAAGCGGGTTGGACACATGGGTAGATGACTTGAGCAGTGAAAATTCAGGACAGGTTAGTGCATAGTCTCTCCATTACACTCCTTTGTTTTCTAATCACATCTCCTCAGTACAGTGCATGTCAGTAAAAAGAATATTGTTCAAAAGCATTTAATTTTGTAGTTTGAATGAACCATTTCACTGAAAGAAATTCTATTTTTTTAAATTTCTGCCAGTTTTTGTTTAT